GACTTTTTAAAATTAAAGGGATTACAAACAAATCATTTTCTCATCGTGATATATTCAATTGATAAAAGATAGTCGTCACTATAATATATCAATCTTCTTGACGAATAGGATGCATTTTTCTTCTTCTTTTCTTTTTTTCTTTTTTTATGTTTTTTGATAAAACTATTTTATTAATATTTTTGTTTTATCTGTATTGATAAAAAACAAGAAATTTTTCATAAACGAAATATTATTTTTAAACAAAAATCGATTACATTCTTATAATATGTTGATTTTATCAAAAATCTTAAAATCTTGCTGCTCATTATCTTTATCTGATATAAAAAACTTTTAAGGTTGTTTCAAAATACTGACTAATTGTTGTTGATTAATCATAGATATGTTTTTTTATATTAAGGACGATGAGAATTAAAATTTTCTTATCATCCACTTGTAAAAAATATCTTGAATGGACCCACATACCATATAAACATATTATTATATGTGGGCGTTACATTACTTTGAAGAAAAAGTTTTTGGTATTTCTTCTTCTTCCATATTTTTATGTTTTATTGTGAGTAAGTATATATATATATATATATATATGCACTAGTAAAATATAAACTGACTGCTCTGAATTTTATACATACTAGAGGTAAATTATGCAGTCAACACTGTTAAAAATCAAGTATTAACGTCAGTTGTTTTCAGTTAATAGTAGATATTAATTAAACTTTAATCATTTGATCTAAGATTATATTTTCTTGTTAAAGAAGTATAGTTACTATATTATTATGTTTGATGTTTTTATTTTTAGATGACTCTATTTTATATTGGATATTTAATTGCTGTAAGCAGTACCGTTGCATTTATTGTCGCTATATTAACACCAAAATGGATATATCCAAATAATCCTGGAATAAGTGAACAATATAATTATCGTGGAATATTTTTTGTTGATAATAATAATACTTGTAGAGATTTTATTCTTACATATAAATCTGCAGTTGCACCCTGTCGACCACGTACGTATTTAAAATTGATATATTAAATCGAATAAATTTTCTAGTTACTCTTTTTACTAGATCTCAAATTTTAAATTTTTTCTTTATTTTTTAGCTTATGCTGTTGCGTGTGCATCGTTAGCAATAATTGCATCATCATTAAGTATAATATTATTATGGTTAGCTGGTGCCTATTTACATATTCGTCGAAAACGTTTAGCAGTTCATTTTGTTTCCGCACTGGCCGCTCTTACAATGTTAATATGTAAGTTGTATTGTTTAACTGATATTGTACATTTATAATTACAATAATTATTTTCATAATTTTTAGTTTGGATTACCGTTGTTATTTGGATTGTTATGATTACAATGAATAGAGATTCAAATTTAAAGATTAGACGTGAAAATATTGGTTTTTCTACATGGATTGCTGTTGGCTCGAGCGGTGGTTTTCTTCTTGCATTTGTATTCTTTATATTATACAGAATTGATCTCGGACATCGAAGGTATTTGAAACAAATTGATCCGCAACATTCACGTCGTTTCTAAGTATTTGTCGTTCTTGTTTTTGTGTCGACGATATATCGTCTTCTATATGTTCTATATATATATATATATATATATATGTGTATGTATCGCACCCACGTTCGATTTTAACTATTTTGAACTATACTGCCATGATACCATCCATATTTTGCATGTACGTCTGTTGAGTTGTGTTGTTCAATACAGCACCAGCATCGTATGTATGACATGTCGCTTTAAATAATAATTAAAACATTATCTATACATACATCTATCCACAGTTCTTGTTCAAATCGAGTTTAATCTCGTTTAAACATTTTCTCGACTTTGATTCTTTTTTGTATACTATTTATGCTTTTTCAAATTTATAAAAAGAAATTTCACTAGTAAGAGTGAAAATATAATGTATATTCATGTTAATCTTTGATGTGTGAAGTTTATATATATATGATTCGACTACTTAAGAAGCGTCAAACGTGAAAACAGTTATAGTCAGTCAGTATATTTTAAATATCAGTAAGTAAATATTGCTGACTACTAGGTTTTTTAAGTTTGCGGATGTGTTTATATTACAATCAGAAGAGTTTGAGAATAATCTATTTCATTAGATCTTATTACTAACTCTTGTTGAATGCTTTATTAGCTGTCTCTCACAGTGACTTTCCTTTCCTTGTGGAATGGGTAATTTATCATTTTTTGCTATTTTTATTAATTGCTGACTTAAATCTATGGTTTTTTAACATTTATTTTTTCTTTTTTTCACTAGTTAAAACAACTGGTTTTGTCATTTTTTTTTTCCTTTGGCCACACACATTAGGGAAAAGACTTGAAAATTATTTATTTTCACAGTTGAGTGTTACAAGACTATATCAAGACATACATATGAAATATTAATATTAGCATTGCAAAAAAGAAAACATTGGATTTAGGCAAATATTTACTTAAGAATCAATCTGATTTTATTAGATATGACTAATTTTTAATCTTTTCACAAAATTTATGTATGACTTGAGAAATAGAACAGGATAAAAAAAAGTGATTTTCCATTTTATAAGTAAAAACAGAATAAACAAATGTATTGTTTTTTATTTCAGTTTTACTCACACAATACTATCCGAGGCGTATGCCTTTCCTAAGTTTAAATTATAGATTAACTCATTGTTATTCGGCTACTTATGCATTTTGTTCATATATTTTTTTTTTTTGTGTAAATTTATAAGTCCTTCTTCTAGAAGCTACACCTTTTTTAAACAGCATGACCTGAGCTATACGATATTTTTATTTTATATCATTGTCACATACAATAGTAACAAACTAATAAAATTTCCTGCTATATTTTTAGGCAAAATTTATTTAAATTCCTTTTCATTTGCTTCTTCAATGCTTAAAACATTTTATTTAACATCTATATCTTTTTCTTTTTTTTTCTTTTTTAGTTCATCGCTCGATTTGTATTCAGCATGATTGATCAGAATAAAACTAATCTTCATATATAGAGTATATCAGTTAGAAAAATATTGCACATGTATTTAATCTTTCACATTTTCTCTCTTTGTACTGTATATATATATTTGCTCAACATTTCTTAGACTTTTTTTGCATAAGTGAGAGGATGAGTCTCATTTATCTATACATGTTTATAGTATTATTATATTTTTCTGTCCTTTAAACAAAAGAAACTAACATTTTTCAATAGTGCTTTGATCTCGTGTTTTTTTTTTCAACTTTTCTCATCTAATCATCATTCCAAAATGCTTGCTTAGCCGCTTTTATTATTTGGTAAGCGTATGCGTTACATTTATTTCTATTTTAAAAACATTTATAAATAGATTTTTTTTTGTGCAGTATGTACAAAAACCAGATATCTACTTTTTGAAAATATATGTATGTGTAGGTGTGTGTGTGTGTCCAATGAAGAAGATAAAAACAGTTTAATGTTTGTTGTAAATTAGTCCGGTTTTATTTCTTTTTACATTTTTTTATATTGTTTTCTCTAATAATGTCATTCATGGATAGAAAGACAATAGCACTCTGTAAAATATAGGTTTTCTTGTTTTTGTATTTGAAATTGTAATAAAATACACAAATTAATGCCCAAATGCGTTTACCAGAAATGTGATCTTTCATCAAAAAATGGACTTTATTTTCTAGAAGCTTTGCAAATATCGAACAAGTACACATGGGAATGTTATAGGCTCAGAGCTGTAATATTTGTACAGCATAATTTAACTAAAAACACCTTTAAATGTAAATTTATTAGAAGCTATCGAACAACTAACATCATATTTTAAATCATTCCTCCGTGAAATGCTCTTCAAACGTTTTTATTTTTGTTCATTTCACATTTTTCCCTATTGAATTAAGGAACAGTCCGCATCATGTGATAGAGAAACAAATAGTTTAAAAATTTGTCTGATATCCTTTGATTATGTGATGATTCATCGTTCAGGTCTATAATAATTTAATGTTCGACAGAAAAAGAGTATCAAAACTAATCTTCGGTCTTCATTACCAAATTGAAAATGTTGAATACTTTTGTCAGTTTGACATAAAAATGAAAAAATTTTTTTGTTTTTCTCGTTTAAACACAATACGAATTTTGACCATGATAATAGAAAAATTTGACTTCTGATTCTAACAGGTATTTCTCTTATGTAATTGTAGTTAGAGTTCAAGAATATTCTCGAAAGATTTATCTAAAGCCGAGAATAATGTTATATACAGCTGTTTATTGATATCGCCCATCATATGACAGTATTCTATTTTTCATTGTTTAAAAAAGAAAAGATATATGTGAATCACCATCATTAATAAAAGCGACAAAAATGTCAGTTTGTATCTCGTACATCACAGAGAGAAATACATATACAAACAGAGATACGACTATGCAAGAATTTTTTGACATTAGTTCTTCAACAGAAAACTTAATGTTGAATACATGTGCGGTATGCGTACAGATCTTTTCAATCTTAAAGCTACATTTTTTTATTTTAATCTATAAATAGAGCGTTAGTAACACTATTGTCGACATTTAGTCGTTAGTCAGATATACAGTTTACAGTGGTGAAATATAGTTTGAAATACAACCTCTGATTTTATAAGTTACAATACAAAAATGTATTTAACAATTTTTACGTTATGCTTGTTAGCAATAACAGTAAGTTTTCAATGCTAAATCAACATAAAAGAAAAAGTTGAAGATATTTTTAACATATCAAAAACATTTGCACACACTGATCTATGAATTTAGAAAATCTAGAACTTCATATTATTTCTTACTTTATCGAATACTAAAAGATTCTTTGTCCGAATTAACAACAAGTTACAAAGAAAGTTTCTCTTCGACGATTTGGACATTATTTCAACTCACAGGTTATAGTTTATTTTTCTTTAAACAGGTTTCTACAATAACCCCAGAGGATGATATTAAAAATAGTTTGGGTAAGTTTTGAGTTGCCAATATTTACTTTAAAATGATAGTTAACGGCTGATCTGTTGTTTTTTTTTCTTCAGAACGAAGTCAAGCCTTTTCACGCATCTGTGCATCATATCCGGCGGTTGATGACGGTTTATGTTTCCACATGGCTCACAATTTGATACCTCGACAAATGGAAGTTCGTGGTCAACAAACAATCATTCCATGCGTATTGAATAAACCAACTGATCATGTTTATTGGTTTTTCCGAAGTCGATATACGAATACATCAACATGGAATCTTATTCGAACATCAGATTCAAATAGAAAAGAATTAGAAAATACAATTTCGGTCACAAGTAATTAATTCATTTATAATATAATCATTTATTTTCCTTAACTAACTACAATAAAATCTGCGTTTTCATCCAGGTCTCAATCAGTGTGAATCAGTTTCTCAATTTTTTATGTGTAACTGTAAATATTTTAGTGGAAAATGGTACAAATGGAAATTATTCTTTAATTCTTCGAAATTTGACACCAATAATGAACGGTGAATACGGTTGTGCAGCAAAAAATGAGCAAATGACGGAAGCTGCATTTGTTATATACGATTTAACAATAACAACACCTGTATTTTGTTCGGAAAGAATTGAAAACTGGCCATGTTTTGAAAATCAACCGCATGCTGATAATGCCATTACAACATCGGGCAACAGTTTAATATTACCATGTCGAATTAATCATGCTTCAGGTAATCATTTTTCTTCTTTTGATGTGGAAAAAGATTAGATAAACATTCATTTTTATCGATTTAGATTCCAGTATCGAGTGGTGGTGGATTAATAGAAATGGTTTAAGTCTTCGTGTATTTCCCGCTTATGCACCGGTTCGACCAACAGTTCAACGTTTCATTTTTAATACAACGACATCTAACATTAACGATACGACAATAGATATGTCAATTATGTTAAGACATGTCAATGTAGATGATAGTGGAGTTTATCGTTGCGTCGTCGTTCCACAGCAAGAAAAAGGACCAACACAAATTTTAGATTATTATGTAGAATTAACAAGTACGCATTTTTCTTATCTGATCTATTTTTCAAAATGTGAAACGGATCTCTCTTCGATCGTTTCCATTTATTTAGCTAGAAATCACTGTTCGTAATTTTTAGGCCCTCGTCTTTGTCAATTTGGCTACAATGGAGCACCATGTTTTGACAATATGGTTACAAGTTCACCAACAATAATTGGAGCATACAAAATTGCCTATTTACCATGTCGTATTTATGATTATAAGAGTATGTTCTTTTCAAAATGTTTTACCAGTTAGTACAATTCAATGTTTAATTTTAGGACTTTCAAATATATTTTGGGTAGCTGGTGATAGCCCAAATAATAGTGTATTGATCACTCATCATCTCAGTTTTAATGACTATAATGGCAATCGTTTACGCCGATTATTTCCATTTTCAACCAATGATTTTTCACTTCAAATTGAAATTAGTAACGATGTTAATATTGATAAAACGTATTCATGCGTTATTGAAGGAACATCAGCATATGAAACAACATGGTTTACATATAATATTCGAGATTTAAGTAAATATTGAAAAGTTTTGCTATTACTTGTTTTATGACTTTTTGTTTGTTACTAAAGAGGTTGAAAGAACTCCAATAACAAAAGATGAACACAAAATGGCAAATCTAATGAATCAATTCTATTCTGATTCGAGACAAACAGCATCTGCAACAACACCAAATAAAAATAAAAAATATACAATGACTGATGAACAATTAACAAATTTATTTTCAAATAAAAAAGAAGAAAAACATCAAGATCCAATTGGTAAGTAAGCAAATTTACATGTATGACGTTTAATCTGCTCTTTGTTCTTCTCTTTAGTAACACCAAATACTGTTTTGAATGCTGACGAAAATGTAAGTTGATTTATAAAATAAGGTTGTTTAGTTTTTTTCCTTCATCTTTTTTGTAGAAACATTTATTCGAATAATAATGGCAAATAAATGAACCATATTTCCATCAACATTATGTAGAAGCAGAATTAGAAGAATTTTTAACTTATTTTTTTTTAGACTATTGTGACGTATAAACTTTTTTACGTATTTTTACAAGTTTGTTTTAATCAATTAGTGATAAGATTTTCTTCAAAAGCTTGTATCAACAAACAATTTTTCTTTTAAACAAAAGAACAGCTTATAAATATAATCTTGTCTCAAGAAGATCGCTTATCAAGAAGAATATGAAATTAATCTTTTTTACATCGAAAAAAAAGAATTGCATGCTTCATCATTGAATGCTATAATAAACTGGACAGTTTATGTCAACCTCGATTCAGATACAGTGATAGTATGACGACTCAGCTATACTAAATTGTTCAAAAAATTAATGAGAGTATGGGTGGTTAGAGATTTGTCAGAAAAGTACCTGTTTATATCACTAAAGTTTTTGATACTGTCTGACATCCTGATCGCCTTTTCAAATTGGAGAAATATGTTATCGATGGATCACAGTCGAAAGGCTTTTAGTTCGTGTTTGTCCAACAGATCAACAAACGTAAAACTGTTGCTCAAACAATACATATTTAACGTTCAAGAATCAGTCTGTTTATGATGGTGAAGAACATGTGTATAACTCTGTGTGCATTTCAATTTACATGGAACTAAATTTAGATGACTGACCCAAAAAATTGGATTGTTTTTGTTTGAGAACTGTTGGATGTAATGCTCCTGTAAAACGCAAACAGTGACTTACTAGAATAGTGGTAAATAAGTATGATTCACAATTCGTATCTTATGTCACATACAAACTATAGTTCAACTAAACACTCGTTAATCTGACTATTAGCAATGTGTTTTAGTAACGGTAACGATCACATCAGTTTTTTCGAAAACGTTGCGATTACGGTAACGGTAGTCAAGAGAAATTTCTCTCAAAATGTTTACGCAATCTTTTTAAAGAAGAAAAGTGTCTCAGAAGTAATAGCACACGATTCTCATTTGTAGTTACGCGTTTGAGGGAGAGAAAGTAATTACTATATCTGAAATTATTATCCGTAATAAACAAGAATACCGGTGACTATTTCTTTAATAACTTTCGAACAATGCGCTTCGAAGGCCTGCGATTTTTAGCATTGTACAGAGGAGATGATTAGCTACA